CCAGATCGCACCATTGCACTCCAGCCTGGCAACAGAGACCATGTCTCAAAAAAAAAAAAAAAAAAGCATATTGAACAGTGTCATAAATTGAAGTGACTGAATGATGTCATAGACTACCAATCCAAATGCCGTCTTTCTTGTGCTATAGCACTGAGGTTTATAATCCTGGGAGTTCAGACCTAAGATGCCCTTAAGTACAAATGACAGATGCTCTGTGGGGTTCTTCAGGGTCAAGGTGGCAGTGGTGGGTGTAGGAAGTGAGGGGAGCTGAAAGGATTGACCAGAGGCACCAGTTTGTTTCCTGTGGGCTTGGTCAGGATGTGAGCTATCAGGGGGCCAGGCTGGGCCTGACTCTCGGAGAGATCTAATACAAAGCCCATATAATAAAATAACTCCCCTATATTCATTTCGATTCTGTTTTTTGAGACAGAGTCTTGCTCTGCCATCCAGGCTGAAGTACAGTGGCTTGATCATAGCTCACTGCAGCCTCTAACTCCTGGACTCAAGTGATTCTTCCACCCCAGCCTCCTGTGTATCTGGGACTACAGGTGTGCACTGCCATACCTGTGAGCCATCTCACCCAGTCTGAAAATTTGGTTTTCTAAAAAGATGTTATAAAATCAATATGGGCAGGGCATGGTGGCTCATGACTGTAATACTGGTACTTTGGGAGGCCAAGGCAGAAGGATCACCTGAGGCCAGGAGTTTTAGACCAGCCTGGGCAATGTAGCAAGACCCTGTATTTACAAAAAAATTTAAAAATCAGCAGGGGGTGGTGTCACGCACCTATAGTCCCTGCTACTTGGAAAGCTGGGGGAAGGCTCTGCTTGAGCCCAGACCAAGAATGCAGCAAACCAGAATCATGCTACTACACTCCAGCCTAGGTGACAGCAAGAACCTGTACAGCCTTTTTTTTTGAGACAGACTCTTGCTCTGTCACCTAGGCTGCAGTGCAGTGGTGTGATCTCAGCTTACTACAACATCTGCCTCCCAGGTTCAAGCGATTCTTCTGCCTCAGCCTCCTGAGTATCTGGCACTACAGGTGCGCACCACTACGCCTGGCTTTTTTTTGTTTTTTTATTTTTGGACAGAGTCTTACTCTTTCCCAGGCTGGAGTGAAGTGGCTCAATCTGGGCTCACTGCAACCACCGCCCCCTGGGTTCAAGGGATTCTCCTGCCTCAGCCTCCCAGGTTGCTGGGATTACAGGAGTGCACCACCACGCCCAGCTAATTTTTTTTTTTTTTTTTTTAAAGATAGTCAAGTGCAGTAGTGAGAAGGAGGGAAAGAGTAGAACAAGGAGTTCGATCTATAACTGACTATGAACAATCAATTGAGGTAACTCACTACCTTCGGACCAGCCACCCAGCTAATTTTTATATCTTTAGTAAAGACAGGGGTTTTGCCATGTTGGCCAGGCTGGTCTCAAATTCCTGACCTCAGGTGATCTACCTGCTTCGGCCTCCCAAAGTGCTAGGATTACAGGCATGAGCCACTGCGCCTATCCTAATTTTTTGTATTTTTAGTAGAGACGGGGTTTCACCATATTGGCCAGGCTGGTCTCGAACTTCTGACCTCATGATCTGCCCGCCTCAGCCTCCCAAAGTGCTGGGATTACAGGTGTGAGCCTAGTTTCTTCTTCAAGAGACAGAGTCTTGGGCCAGGCGCTGTGGCTCACGCCTGTAATCCCAGCACTTTGGGAGGCTGAGGCGGGCGGATCACGAGGTCAGGAGTTCAAGACCAGCCTGGCCAACATGATGAAACCCCGTCTCTACTAAAAATACAAAAAATTAGGATAGGCGCAGTGGCTCATGCCTGTAATCCTAGCACTTTGGGAGGCTGAGTCGGGTGGATACCTCATTCGACACCAGCCTGGCCAACATGATGAAACCCCATCTCTACTAAAAATACAAAAATTAGCTGGGCGTGGTGGTGTGTGCCTGTAGTCCCAGCTACTCAGGAGGCTGAGGCAGAAGAATCACTTGAACCCAGGAGGTGGAGGTGGGAATGAGCCGAGATTACGCCACTGCACTCCAGCCTGGGTGACAGAGCGAGACTGTGTCTCAAAAAAAAAAAAAAAGAAGAAACTAAGTCAGATTTTCAAAATGCAGAACAAAGAAATTATTTACCTAGAAAATGTAGTTTCTATATGAGTCTTATTGATTGATTGATTGAGACAAAATCTCATTCTGTCGCCCAGGCTGGAGTGCAGTAGCTCAGCATAGCTCACCGCAGCCCCAATCTCCTGGGCTCAAAGGATCCTCCTGCCTCAGCTTCCAAGTAGCTAGGATTACAGTTATATGCCTCCATGCCTGGCTTATTATTTATTTTTTTTAAATAGAGATGAGGTCTTGCTGTGTTCCCCAGGCTGATCTTAAACTCCAGAACTCAAGTGATCTTCCCATCTTGGCCTCCCAAAGTGCTGGAAATGTAAGCTTGAGCCACCACGCCCAGCCAAGTCTTAAAATCCAAGTCACAATGGGCTTTTTTTCTCTGTATTTATGACATTGGCTGAATCCCTCCCTTGGTGATGGTAATAAAACGTACTGTTGACAGAGCTGTGCTGAGCCAGGTATTTTATATATACTGCTTTGGTTGACTTAGTTCTCCTTTCTTCCCTGTAACTGTAAAATCCCACTTTACATTTATAGCAGTAAACAAAAAACAGGAGAAGTTTAGAAATTTCCCAGGTCATCTAGCAATGAAGTGAGAGAACCAAGATTTGCACACAGGAATTTCTGGCTCCAAAGCTTGAGTCCAGCACCAATAATTGACTCTTCCTGGTAGTCAGTTGTCCTGGGGCCCATCTATCATGTGGGACATCAGTCATTTCTATAAAGTTTTCTTATTTACTGGTTGCAAGATTTATTGATTGTAGTTACCATTGTTTCTGCTGGAAGCTTGCCAGATGAGTTCCCCTCCTGAGCCTGTGTAAACAGAATCCATCTTGGTCCATCAGGGTAAACTGCACCCTGCAGTGAGCCATCAGATATAATCTGTGTTGGGCTGGGCTGGGTGACTCACGCCTGTAATTCCAGCACTTCGGGAGGCCAAGGTGGGCACATCACCTGAGGTCAGGAGTTTGAGACCAGCCTGGCCAACATAGGGAAATTCCATCTCTACTAAAAATACAAAAATTAGCTGGGCATGTGGTGGGCACCTGTAATCCTAGCAGCTACTCAGAAGGCTGAAGCAGGAGAATCACTTGAACCCAGGAGGCAGAAGTTGCAGTGAGCAGAGATCGTGACACTGCACTCCAGCCTGGGCAACAGAGTGAGACTCTATCTCAGTTTAAAAAAAAAAAAAAAAAAAGGAAGCCCAGTGCGGTGACTCATGCCTGTAATCCCAGCACTTTGGGAGGCCAAGGCAGGCAGATCACAAGGTCAAGAGATCAAGACCATCCTGGCCAACATGATGAAACCAGTTCTCTACTAACAATACAAAAATTAGCTGGGCGTGATGGCATGCACCTGTAGTCCCAGCTAGTGGGAGGCTGAGGCAGGAGAATCACTTCAACCCTGGAGGCAGAGGTTGCAGTGAGCCAAGATCTCACCAATGCACTCCAGCCTGGTGACAGAGCGAGAGTCCGTCTCAAAAAAAAAAAAAAAAAAGGAAAATTTTGGAAGCGTACATAGATCATGTATCAATACCTTATGGGTGGGCCTTTGTAAGAACTTTGGCTTTTATTCCAAGAAGCAATTGGACATTGGAGGGCTTTTTTTGTGGGTTTCTGCCTGGGTATCTTTACCCTTCCTGGCTTACTAAGGTATTAGCACAGGATTTCCTCCAATTCGAACAACATCAAGCTCGCAGGAACACTGCAGGTGTTAGTGTCTTGTGGCTGTTCATATCCTCATGAGCTTTCATCTTGAAACATGGAGCAGCATTCATCCCTTCAGTTTCCAGCTGCCCATCCTCTAGCACTCTCCTCAGGGCTTTGTCCAACTTTGTTTAGCTCTGGATGTGTGCCAGCTGCAGCGTACCCAGAACGGATGTGAGGGCAGAAAGGGGATTCTCACTTCCTTCCCCTCCTACTGGAGCGGAGCATTTTCTAGCTTTGGACCACTCTAACTTGTTGGACCAGTGTTTTCAGAGAACAATCTGCAAGGGAATCTTAGGGTCCTCTCTGGAGTTTTGACTAAAGGGTGGCAGTTATGTGTGGCCCATCCCCTAGAAAATAGGTTAAATTCCCTTGCCCCAAGCTGATGACCTAGTAAATGCATGACAGCATAGAGACACATCCATGAAGTGTGCCCACCTGTATTATTCAGGGTTCTCCAGATAAACAGAACCAATAGGGTGTTTCAGAGAGATTTATTTGAAGAAACTGGGGCCAGGCATGGTGGCTCACACCTGTAATCTCAGCACTTTGGGACGCCAAGGCAGGAGGATCACTTGGGCCCAGGAGTTCAAGACCAGCCTGGGCAACAGAGGGAGACCCCGTTTCTACAAAAAATAAAAATTAGCCAGGTGTGGTGGTACACACCTGTGGTCCCAGTTACTCAGGAGGCCAAGGTGGAGGATCGCTTGAAGCCAGGAGTTTGATTAGCCTGGGCAACATAGCAAGACCCCACCTCTACAAAAAAGAAATTAGTTCATGGCCGGGCGCAGTGGCTCACGCCTATAATCCCAGCACTTTGGGAGGCTGAGGTGGGTGGATCACGAGGTCAAGAGATCGAGACCATCCTGCTCAACAAGGTGAAACCCCGTCTCTACTAAAAATAAAAAATTAGCTGGGCATTATGGTGCGTGCCTGTAGTCCCAGCTACTCGGGAGGCTGAGGCAGGAGAATTGCTTGAACCCAGGAGGCGGAGGTTGCGGTGAGCCGAGACTGCCACTGCACTCCAGTCTGGGCAACAACAGCGAAACTCCGTCTCAAAAAAAGAAAAAGAAATTAGTTCATGCAGTTGTAAGACAGAAAGTCCAAAATCCTCAGGGCAGGTGGACATGCTGGAGATTCCCCCCTGGAACTTTGAGATTTCTTGTTGTGTCCTATGATTAGGTATTGGGAAGAATGTGGTTTGTGAGAAGGCAGCAACATCAGTGGATGCCTTCCGGATGGTGACAGCCTCAAGATACTACCCGCAGCTGATGAGCCTGGTGGGGAACGTGCTGCGCTTCCTGCCTGCCTTCGTGCGCATGAAGCAGTTGATTTCGGAGCACTACGTGGGAGCAGTGATGATCTGTGATGCTCGTATCTACTCAGGCAGCCTGCTAAGCCCCACCTATGGCTGGATCTGTGATGAGCTCATGGGTGGCGGGGGCCTGCACACCATGGGGACGTACATCGTGGACCTGCTAACCCACCTGACTGGCCGGAGAGCAGAGAAGGTACATGGGCTGCTCAAGACGTTCGTGAGGCAGAATGCTGCCATCCGTGGCATCCGGCACGTCACCAGCGATGACTTCTGTTTCTTCCAGATGCTCATGGGTGGGGGTGTGTGCAGCACAGTGACACTCAACTTCAACATGCCAGGCGCCTTTGTGCATGAGGTCATGGTGGTAGGCTCTGCAGGACGCCTCGTCGCCCGAGGAGCCGACCTCTATGGGCAGAAGAACTCTGCCACGCAAGAGGAGCTGCTGTTGAGGGACTCGCTGGCTGTGGGCACAGGGCTGCCTGAGCAGGGGCCCCAGGACGTCCCGCTGCTATACCTAAAGGGCATGGTGTACATGGTGCAGGCCTTGCGCCAGTCCTTCCAGGGGCAGAGCGACCGCCGCACCTGGGACCGTGCCCCTGTCTCCATGGCCGCCTCCTTCGAGGATGGGCTGTACATGCAGAGCGTGGTGGATGCCATCAAGAGGTCCAGCCGATCCGGGGAGTGGGAGGCTGTGGAGGTGCTGACGGAGGAGCCTGACGCCAACCAGAACCTGTGTGAAGCGCTTCAGCGGAACAACCTATGAACCTGCACCTGGGCTCCTTGCCATAGGACAGAGGGACCAGGGAGGGGAACAGGAGCCAGATATGATGAGGGCTTGGCCCTAGCAGAGACAGTGTCTTTCATTTAATGAGTCTGGGTGAATCCAGAGGTGGTCCTGGGACTTTGCCCCCCACCCCCACCCCAGCAGCTCACCTGCTCCTTAGACTTGCAGGGTGGCAAACATTCCTGTTGCCAGGCTAGCACAGCGTGCACAGGGTAGAGCTGTCGCCAGCCTCCTCATGGCAATGCCAGTGAGTGGGACCAGGAGAGGCTCACCCTGTGTGCCCTTTAGCCTGATCCACAGTCCTAACAGGGTGCTAATGCACAACAGGGGCCAGGCAGCTCGGCTGAGGCCCGAGGAGAAATGACTAGAAGTCTCATTTCCATGTCCTTCTTGGGTTGGGGCATCTCAGGAACGGTGAGGGCAACATGCTGACCCTCAGGGACCCTTACCTGCCCTCCCATGTTACCAGCCCCTTCCCAGGTGGGGACAAGGGCTTGCTTTATTAAGTGAGCTCTCGGGCTTTTGAACTAGGGCAGAGGGCCCTGATTTGGCAAAGAGGAGGCAAGGGAGGGCTTTAGAACATCTGAGAAATGTTAATAAATAATTCAGAAAATAGGACATGGCATGTGGTTTTTGGTAGGTTGGGTTTCGTTAATACTGAAAGGCTTGGTTATTTTTCTCTTTCCTCATGGCTTCACAGCAGCTCAGAGCCAGCCATGGATCATCACCACCAACTGGGTGGGTGGTGCCCCTGCCAGCCCTCGTCTCCCGCCTATTCCCTCATGGCCAACTCCCAAGAGCCTCCAAAGAAAAGATTTTCTCAGAGAACAGGACTCGGGACTTCCTAATGGGCTGCTGCTGGGCCTGTGTCTCAGCAGATAGCGGGAGAGTTTGGGGTCTCTCTGGGCTGGAGGTCAGGAGAGATCTGTTCCTTTTTTTTTTTTTTTTTTTGAGACGGAGTCTCACTGTCGCTCAGGCTGTAGTGCAGTGGCGTGATCTTGGCTCACTGCAATCTCTGCCTCAGCCTCCTGAGCAGCTGGGACTACAGGCGTGCGCCACCACTCCCAGCTAATGTTTTTGTATTTTTAGTAGAAATGGGGTTTCACAATGTTGGCCAGGATGGTCTCGATCTCCTGACCTTGTGATCTGCCCGCTTCGGCCTCCCAAAGTACTAGGATTACAGGTGTGAGCCACCACGCCCGGCTGAGGGGTCTGTTCTTAATGCCACGGTGTTGGCTGCCGGAGCATCCTCCAAGTGGTGGGATGAGCGGTTTCAGGGAGGTGGCACAGGGTGTGAAGGAGGAGGAAGAGCTCTAGGCATGCCCCGTGGAGCAGCTGCAGCTGGGCCTGCGTTGCACAGAAGTAGCCTTCTACCCACCTCCACCAGAGGCCAAGGGGTGGTGTTGAGAAAGGACATGCCCTCCCCTTTACTGCTTTGACCAGCCTGCCAGGAACATTCAGCCTGGACCAAGTTCTGTTTCCTTCTCTAACTTTCCGCCCTTTTCCCTGCCCTGGGCTCCTGGCCAGAAAAGCCCAGGGAGGGCTTCCTCTTCCTCTTGGCACCCCTTCTAGATGTCACCAGGCCTGTTTTCCTGTCATGTCCTGGATTCAGACGTCCGTGTGATATGTAATAACAAGGGGCAGAGTTGGAATGTGCCTACTACATGCCGACTCTCAGGGCAAATGTGTTATTTAATCTCCAAACCACTCTGACAGCACTATAGTAAATATTCCCATCATTGTGATCATAAGACGGAGGCACGGAGGGCAAAGCTACTTGCCTCCTGTAGGTTGTACATGATGGAGCCGGGAGCCTGGTCAGGACTATCTAACCACAGAGTTTGATCTTGAACCACACCTCCTCCCAGCACTTGGGAAGTCTTCAGACCCGAGGGCCAGGCATTGCCCCTCCCTGTGGCAGGAACCTCGGCCTGGCCTGCACTAGGAGGTGAAGTGCAGACAGCACGCACCACAGTCAGGACACCGATAGTTAAAGGGGAGGCTGCCCCCTTGTCCCTGGGACAGTTAGCTCAGCTCAGTCCTCGCATGTGTGGCCAGGATGTTGAGGTCACTCCAAAATGGAATTGACCAAGAAAGCACAAGCCCAACTTAGATGCTACCACATAAGAAAGGGCCAACCCAGAATGGCATTCGGGTTCCCAGAATGTGCTGGGGCAGAGTGCAGTGGGCTTAGTGCAGAGCTACTTTAATGAGGACCCTGGTTCCTCTGAGGGAATTCCCAGAGCCTAGATCCATAGCCAGAGGGGTGCATGGCCCCTTCCCTCAAACATATTTATCATCGAGTATCTCCTGGGCATCAGAGCTGGTCAGTCCCACACTGGGGATGAGAAAGATGTGCCCAGATGCCTATGGCCAAGGGAGCCCACAGGGTTCTGGTCTCCACGGATGACTGAACCCACAACTGGTTCCAGACTTGTCCAGCAGCGCCCTCTCCTGGAAGAAGGCGGTAGCACTTCCCAGGACCTGTTTCCAAATCTCAGGATGTTACAAGCTCTTCCTCAGGTTAAAATTAAGTTTTTCCAGGCCAGTAAAAATGCAGTTAGCTTTGCTTGTCAGATACAGCAACCAGAAGATAACTTTTTTTTTTTTTTTTTGAAGACGGGGTTTCACCATGTTGGTCAGGCTGGTCTTGAACTCCCGACCTGAGGTGATCCGCCTGCCTTGGCCTCCAAAGTGCTTGGATTACAGGCGTGAGCCACCACGCCTGGCCTTTTTTTTTTTTCTTTTTTTCTTTTTTTTTTTTGAGAACTTCTACAATACCTGTCGCTTACTCTTCAACCTCCAGCCAAATCCAATTCTGTTCTCACCCAGACAGTGGCAGCTGCTTCCTTTCCTGTTCTGCCCTTCACCCTGTAGTCCAAGCAGCCTCTCTGGAACATCACGCCAAGATCCTTCCCTGTCCACAGCCCACCTCCTCACCCCTGGACTTGCCCAGCCTGGTTTCCATATGGCCATGCCCTCCACTCCAGTCACACTGAGCAGCCCTCCTGCAGCCTGGCAGCTTCCATACTAGCAGAGCTTCCTCCCTGGCATGTCCTCTGCCTGGAAGGCACCACCTCTCTCCCTCAGGAGTCAGTTGGAGGGCTGCCTGGTCACCACTTCTCCTTCAGCAAAGTAGCCACCCCCCAACCTGTGTTCCCACAGCCTTGGTCCTCAGTTGCACTGAGGTTGCATGTCTCATTCATTCATTCATTCATTCAGCCTGTTACCTAGGCTGGAGTGCAGTGGCATCACCTCAGCTCACAGCCATCTCCACCTTCCGGGTTCAAGTGATTCTCCTGCCTCGGCCTCCCAAGTAGCTGAGACTACAGGCATCCACCACCATACCTGGCTAATTTTTGTTTTTGTTTTGGTTTGTTTTTTTAGATGGAGTCTCACTCTGTCACCCAGGCTGGAGTGCAGTGGCACAGTCTCAGCTCACTGCAACCTCCACCTCCCTGGTTCAAGCAATTCCCCTGCCTCAGCCTCCCAAGTAGCTGAGATTACAGGTGCATGCCACCACACCCAGCTAATTTTTTTGTATTTTTAGTAGAGACAGGGTTTCACTATGTTGGCCAGACTGGTCTCGAACTCCTGACCTCAGGCAATCCGCCTGCCTCGGCCTCCCAAAGTGATGGGATTACAGGTGTGAGCCACTGCGCCTGGCCTATTTTTTGTATTTTTAGTAGAGATGGGGTTTCACCACATCGTCCAGGCTGGTTTTGAACTTTTGGCATAAGTTATCCACCACCCTCAGCGTCCCAAGATATTAGGATTATAGGCATGAACCACCACGCTGGGCACTTATTTTGAATATATAATTTCAACTTTTACTTTACATTTGGGGTGAGGGGGTACATGTGCAGGTTTGTTACATGGGTATACTGCGTTAACGCTGAGGTTTGGGGGACAATTGGTCTCATTGCCCAGGTAGTGAACATAGTACTCAATAGGCAGTTTTTCAACCCTCACCCCACCGCCTCTCTGCCCCCTCTCCTAGTCCGATGTCTGTGGGTCCCATCTTTTTGTCCATGTGTACCCAATGTGTAGCTCCCACTTATAAATGAGAGAGTTAGAGCATGTGCTATTTGTTTTCCCTTTCTTGTGTTAATTTGATTAGGATAATGGCCTCCAGCTGTTTCCATGTTGCTGCAAAGGAGATAATTTTGGTCTTTTTTATGGCTGCATCATTTTTACTTTTTTTTTTTGACATGGAGTCTTACTGTCACCCAGGCTGGAGTGCAATGGCATGTTCTCGCCTCACTGCAGTCTCTGCCGCCTGGTTTCAAGCAATTCTCCTGCCTCAGCCTCCCGAGTAGCTGGGAATACAGGCACAAGCCACCACACCTGGCTAATTTTTGTATTTTTAGTAGAGACAGGGTTTCACTATGTTGGTCAGGCTGATCTCAAACTCCCGACCTTGTGATCTGCCTGCCTCGCCCTCCCAAAGTGGTGGTATTACAGGCATGAGCCACTGCGCCCAGCCGTCATTTTTACTTCTTGAGACAGGGAAAGGTGTTGCCCAGGGTGGTCTTGAACTCCCGGGCTCAAGTGATCCTCCCACCTCAGCCTCCCAAGTATCTGGCACTACAGACACAGAACACCATGCCCAGCTACACATAACTCCTTAAATCATGTAGCATTTCCCCTTTAGAGTTAGCTTCTAGGAGCAGTAGTGACTTGATCCTTTCTGCAGCTCCTATCTCCCACCCTGCTTAGACAAGTCCATTGGGTAATAGGCCTCAGGAATTGTAGTCTAGTTCTCCCACGATTTCTACTTCCTGCCTCACCTGTGAGAAGACGCAACTAGCTCTTCCTTATCAGTGCTGGCCTTGCTCACACTTCTAGCCCTGGAGACCACGCAAAGATAATGGAGGCCTTCTTGGGTCAGGCCTTAGCCAGAGAGTCCCCAGGTGTGCAGATCCTGCAAAACTTAGACAGGGGCTCCCAGATCCTAGGGTGTGGTCTCATGCAAGGTCACTTCTCTCTAGGCCTTTGCCTCCCCAACCATAAAGCAAGGAGGTTAAGCTCAATTGTCTTGGCTGGGTGTGGCGGCTCATGCCTGTAATCCCAGCACTTTGGGAGGTCAAGGAGGGAAGAATGCTTGAGGTCAGGAGTTTGAGACCAGCCTGATCAACATAGAGAGACCCTACCTCCACAAAAATTTTTTTTTGGTTGGACACAGTGGCTCACATTTGTAATCCCAGGATTTTGGGAGGCCAAGGTGGGCAGATCACAAGGTCAGGAGTTCGAGACCAGCCTGGCCCACATAGTGAAACCCCGTCTCTACTAAAAATACAAAACTTAGCTAGGCATGGTGGTGCATGCTTATAATTCCAGCTACTTGGGAGGCTGACACAGGAGAATGGCTTGAACCTGGGAGGTGGAGGTTGCAGTGAGCTAAGATCACCCCATTGCACTCCAGCCTGGGCAACACAGTGAGACTCTATCTCAAATTTTTAAAAATTTTTTTAGTTAGCCAGGCATGATGGTGTACACCTATAGTCCCAGCTACTTGGGTGTCTGAACTGAAGAGGTCAAAGCCACAGCGAGCCATGATCACACCACTGCACTCCAGCCTAAGTGACGGTGAGATCTTGTCTAAATTAAAAAAAAAAAAAAAAAAAGTTTAATTATCTTGAAGGGCCCTCAACCTCTGAAAAACCCTGAAGAATCTGTGCTCATTCTTATACACAACATTTGATCTGCACGGTCCTCATGGACAGTATTACCTGGGGTGATCAAATCACTACCCAAGGAAGTCTATAGCAGAAAAGAAATAAATGTCTTGCCCCAGGCTGGGTGCAATAGCTCATGCCTATAATCCCAACACCTTGAAAGGCTGAGGCAGGAGGATGGCTTGAGACCAGGAGTAAGAGTCTACACTGAGCTGATCGTGTCACTGCACTCCAGCCTGGACAACAGAGTAAAACTCTGTCTCAAAAACTTTTTTTTTTTTTTTTTGAGACCGAGTTTCACTCTTGTTACCCAGGCTGGAGTGCAATGGCACGATCTTGGCTCACCGCAACCTCTGCCTCCTGGGTTCAGGCAATTCTCTTGCCTCAACCTCCTGAGTAGCTGGGATTACAGGCACGCACCACCATGCCCAGCTAATGTTTTGTATTTTTAGTAGAGACAGGGTTTCACCATGTTGACCAGGATGGTCTCGATCTCTTGACCTCGTGATCCACCCACCTCGGCCTCCCAAAGTGTTGGGATTACAGGCTTGAGCCACCACCGTGCCCGGCTGTCTCAAAAACTTTAAAAAAAAAAAAAAAAAAAAAAAAAAAGGCCGGGTGTGGTGGTTCACACCTATAATCCTAGCACTTTGGGAGGCCAAGGTGGGTGGATCACCTGAGGTCAGGAGTTCAAGACCAGCCTGGCCATCATGGTGAAATCCTATTTAAAAAATAATAAATAAATTAAAAAAAAAAAAAAAGTCCACTTTGGGACATTTGGGAGACCAAGCTGGGCCGATCACTTGAGTCCGGGAGTTCAAGACCAGTCTGGGCAACCTGGCAAAACCCCACCTCTACTAAAAAATTCAGAAATTAGCCGGGCATGGTGACACACACCTGTAGTCCCAGCTACTTGGGAGGCTGAGGTGGGAGGATCCTATGAGTCCAGGAGGTAGAGATTGTAGTGAGCCGAGATTGTGTCACTGCACTCCAGTCTGGGCAACAGAGGGAGATCCTGTCTCAAAGAGAAAAGAAAAAAAAAGGCCCATGGGGCCAGTGAGCAGCCAAGTGACCCTGTCAAAGGAGGGAGGAGCCTGGGATGATGCCAGGAAAGGAGACCCCCTGCTTTTCCTACCTGAGCCTGCCCACCCCACTCCCTCCAGTGACCTTGTCAGGCCATACTCCAGGGAACCTAGACATGACTATGACTTGGGATGGCCTCAGCCTTTCGGATTCTGGCCTGTCCCTCTCTGCAGCTTCCTCACTTTAGTCTCTTCACGTTGGTGCCTTTTAGGGGGCCCTCTGGTTAGGTGGATGTGATGCAATGACATGTGCCCTGAGGGAGTTCACAGTCTAGTCCTGAAGACAGTTATAGCCCACAATAGTAGTGTGTAGGTGCTACAATGGAGGGCAACATGGCTCTCCCGGAAGCAGGGCCCCAAGTTTTCAAGGGTGTGTATGCAGTAGCCAGGGGGAGAGGTGAGAATCAAGGCATTTTAGGCAGAGGAAGCCCCACATGCAGAGAGTGAAGCAAGGAAAAGGTGAAACTGCTTAGGGAATTACGGGAAGCCACTGAGTTCTAAGGTGCCTGGGGCAAGAGAAGGAGGATCCCAAGGGGGAGTGACACCATCAGGGGCTCAGGTGTGTGTTGCAGGGCCACTAGATGGATCTGTGGGCCAAGGAAGATACACAGGGAGACCAGTGAGGCTGTCACCTGAGGATGACAGTGGCCCAGGCAACAGTGCTGACTATGGAAGTTGAGACATTCTCAGCCTGAAAGGGTATGTCCACTGGCCTCAATGTCTGCTTAGCTTGTAGGAATCAGGGAACAAAGGACAGGATGGGTTCTGGGGTAACACCCAAGATTCTAGCTTAAATAATTGCACAGACGAGCCGGGCGCGGTGGCTCAAGCCTGTAATCCCAGCACTGTGGGAGGCCGAGGCGGGTGGATCACGAGGTCAAGAGATCGAGACCATCCTGGTCAACATGGTGAAACCCCGTCTCTACTAAAAATACAAAACATTAGCTGGGCATGGTGGCGCGTGCCTGTAATCCCAGCTACTCAGGAGGCTGAGGCAGGAGAATTGCCTGAACCCAGGAGGTGGAGGTTGCGGTGAGCCGAGATCGCGCCACTGCACTCCAGCCTGGGTAACATGAGTGAAACTCCGTCTCAGAAATAAATAAATAAATAAATAATAATTGCACAGACGAGATACAGGAGGAAAAGCAGTTGCAGGGAAGGGAAATTATCCATGAACTTGAAATTCCTATGTCTGTTTGCAGTGTCTAAGGAACACAGAGGAGGCCCAGGAGGCAGCAGGATGTGCAGTTTCCAAAATGGCCAGCACCAGCTGGCTCTTCCCAGAGATCCTTGATGGTTGGACAGAGCTGTCATCCAGTGGCTTGGTCTCAGGACCCCAGATGCATTTACTGCCCTCCCACCCCAACCCTGCCAGGACAACATCACTGATGCCCTGTCACCTGTGACCAGGAGCTACTCCATGGACAAGGTCCGGTCCAGCTATGGTCTAGCAATGAGTGGAAAACATCCCAAAGCTGTCACTCTTGCAACAGGCAAATGAACTCTTTCCACTTCCTAGGGGATCCCAAGTTTTGATCCCCTCAAGGTGAGACAAATGCAGGCCCTTCCTCCGGAGACAGAGAGCAGGGCCAAACACCTGCTTCTCATGAGCTGACAGACCCTTTCTTTTCTCTGCCCCAAGTTCCTCCTTCTCACTTCCCTCTTCATCACCCAGTTAGCTGCCTGACCCTCAGATTCACCTAAATGCACAGCACCAGGCCCATCCCGATTCAGGGAGGCGTGGAGTGGCACGAAAGAACCTGTCATTGTCAAGGTCACGGGTGATGCAGATGCAAAACCTGCACTGTTGAGTCCTCCATCCTCTTTCCTAGTTCAGGCAACCTATCTGGGGAATAACAAAGTCTTCGAAAAAGAAAAATGTTTATTTTCAGCAAGCCCAAAATCCCAAGTGAGGGCAGGTACCAAATTTGCCCCCTCCACCAGAGGGCCTAGGTTCACAGGAAGCCTGAAGCCAAGTTCAGGCTTGGAAGGAGGGGAGCCACCAGTGGGGCGGGACAGTCACTTGTACTGAGGAGAGAGCGGGTGGACAAGCGGAGAAGTGCAGACACTCAGCATCTTGTCGATGTCCACCTGGGTTGACTTCTCCACCTCGGCCTTGAGGTGGTCACTCACCCCCAAGCTGGGCAGGCCCCCAGGCTCTTCTCCAGCCTCCTCTCCAAGGGGAGCCAAAGCATGGGTGGGGGGCACTAACGGACTGCGACAGGACAAAGTGAGGCCCGGGCCCAGCTTACCTGCCAAGGGCAGCAAGGCCTGCAATTGCTCCACACCTGCCTCCTCAGGAACCAGGGCCAGCTCTGCCTCTGCATCCACCTCGGCCTCCCTGTCCCTCTCCCCAACCTGGTTCAGCTCAGGGTTGCAATAGTTGATGTACTGGTACAGGGGCCGAAGGCGCTGGGCCTTTCCTGCAAAGACCCGGGGCAGGGCGGAGGCTGGAGCGCCAGGTTGTGTCAGGTTAGGCCCCACAGGCAGGGGGAGAAGGAACAGCTCAGGGACTGCCACTCACGCTCCAGCCCCAACATCTCTAAGGGTGCAGAGACTGTGCTGGCCGAAGCGTGGATCACAGGAGCCCCCAGGCTCTTGCGCTTCTTGGCTTTTTTGTGCTGTTTGGCAGATGGTGAGACCTCACTCTGGCTGCCCTCTGGCTCCTCCTCCTGCAGCAGCAGCCTGGGTGGCAGCTCAGCTTCAGCCCTCAAATGGGCACGGTGGCCCGGGAGGCTGAGGGACCTGAGCCAGGGACAAGAGACTTGAGGAGCCAGGCTCCAGCCCTGGCCCAGGGAATAGCCCAGCCTGCCCACCACCCCAGGGCTCGATGCCTGCCCCGTTCCTGGTTAGTGAGGCCCCAGGCCCAAGAGAGGCTCAGAGCCAGGTGAGCCCAGTCCCCTACAAACCCTGAAGCCCCCTCTCTCCTGCCACTCCCTACATGGGGGTAGTTGGGGGAAGGTCTTCAGGAACAGAAAGAGAGGGGAGTGAGGGTAGTAGTGGTGGACACAAGAATCATGCGTGCAGGATTTAGGAATCCTACTGGAGGCTGGGCGCAGTGGCTCATGCCTGTAATCCTAACACTTTGGGAGGCCGAGGTGGGTGAATCACCTGAGGTCAGGAGTTCAAGACCAGCCTGGCCATCATGGTGAAACCCCATCTTTTTTTTTTTTAAAAAAAAAAAAAAGGAATCCTACTGGAGTGTGAGCCCCATCCCCCGGCCTGCAGATCCTTCCTTCCGAGAGCCCCCTCACTTGACAGGCTTCCTCTTTGGACCATGACCGGGCCTTACAGAGACCACGGGCCTGGGCCCTCTCTCCTCTAGCGCCCCAGCCTCCGGCTTGGGCCCCTCTTCCTCCAGGTGGGGTCCTTCCTCCTGGAGCTCCGGCTCTGAAGCGGCTCCTGCTGGGGGCTGGTCTTCACCCTGGGTCCTGCGGGCCTCATGGGCTGGCACCAGGAACTGGTCTGCTGGCACCAGGAACTGGTCTCCCGTCACTGGACACTAGAGGTGACACACAGACCATCGGTCACCATGGCCGGGCAAAAGATATAGGGATCAGTCACTGAACACCTAACATTAGACACCGAAACAGCCTGTGTCTCTCCTCTCCTGGAGAGCCCAGCCTGGCAGTTAGGGGGTCGGGGCGCTCAGAGTTCCGCCTCTCAGAGCTCTGCGGCCCTATGTTGAATGCTAAACAGCCTGATGGTCACCTCAGAGGTCTGAGCGCGGCCAGGGTCCTCCACGAGCAGTGCCTGCCCCACGACCGTCGCCTCCTGGAATCCCGGCCGCCTCTCCGCCCCTACCGAGGCCATGGCTGCGCGGGCTCAGTGCATCCTGGACACCTGCCTGGGGCTGACCCCGAGGGGTTGGATGATGGCCCCGCGCGGACCCGGGAGACCGGCCAGCAAGCGAGGACAAAACGGAAGTGAGACCGGCGGCCACCCTCGACCGAAACTACAAGCCCCAAGAGGCTTTGCGCCAGGGTCAGCGAGCCCTGTCCCCCGGGACGTAAGCCACGGTTGCCCGGCAACAACAACTCCCGTCGAGTGGCAGCAGCTGGCGGCAAGGACGCTCGAGTGAGCCCCTGCCCGAGTGCCGCGGGGGTTGGGGCGCGAGCGGGACCGGGAAATGGGCTGGGAGCAGAGGTCGCGGAGGCGACAAAGGGGGCCGAGGTCGGGGCGGGGACCGGGAGAGTCCCGGGAGTGGCGGCCCTCCTGGGTCCGGGTCAGGGTCAGGGTCCCTGACTAGGGAGGAGGCCTGGAGCTGGGAACTGGGCCCAGGGAGGGAAGTACACAGCCCGACAGGCCTCGGGGCCCCTATGCAGGGCGGCGCCGACGGCATGTGCGAGGGCCCTTCCCGTATCTCGGGGCCCATCCCCCCAGACCCGACGCTTTGCCCTGACTACTACCGGCGGCCGGCCTCTGGTGAGTACGGGGGCGCGGCGGTGGCGAGAGGCTCGGGGGTCGGCCTCGACTCCACCTCTGAGCTCCGCATTCCGCTCGGCTCCGCCCCACACGCAGGTCAAGGGCGCCTAGAGGGAAACGCGCTGAAGCTGGACTTGCTGACCTCGGACCGGGCTCTGGACGCCACCGCTCCCCGTGGCCCCTGCATCGGTCCCGGCGCCCGAGAGATCCTGGAGCGCGGCCGGCGTGGCGTCGGGGACGTGCTGTTGCAACTTGAGGGCATCTCCCTAGGTCCTGGGGCCTCTCTCAAGAGTAAGTCCCAGGAAGGGAAGAAGGGGCAGAGAGACTGTTTGGGGTGGAAAGACATCAAAGTAGCTGCCCTTTCTCCCCTGACCTGGGCCCAGGCTTTGCTTTCTTGAGTCTCAGTTTCCCCAACCATAAAAGGGGGAGAAATGCGCTGCCTTCTCGAAGGGGAACTGAATGAGGTAGTTCCCACAAAGCCCTAGCTCTGCTTCATGCATTTATTACCCGTCAAACTTGTGTGCCAGGCCATATAGGTGCTAGAACACAGGGTTGAAGACAAGCGTGAGCCATCGAGTCAAGGTGGGAGACAAAGAACAAGAGATGAATGTCATATATGAGATAATTAATAGTATACTTCACTGTAATAATGGAGAAAATCAGCTGGGAGCAGTGGCTCACGCCTGTAATCCCAGCACTTTAGGAGGCCAAGTCGGGGGGATCACTTGAGCCCAGGAGTTGGAGACCAGCCTGGCCAACATGGTGAAACCCCATCTCTGCAAAAAATACAAAAATCAGCCCGGAATGGTGGAGTATGTCTCTAATCCCAGCTATTCAGTAGGCTGAAGTGGGAGGATCACTTGAGCCAGGGAGGTTGAGGCTGCAGTGAGCTGTGATCATGCCACTGTACTCCAGCCTGGGTGACAGAGTGAGACCCTGTCTCAATTAATAATGAGAAAATCATCACGAGATACCTACTAGGTGAGGAAGGGAACACGGTGATGAGGTAGACGAGAGGTCAGGGGGCTCTTTCTGTAAGGGGCAGAGGACAGGCCTGTGTGTGAACTGGTAGAAACTGGATTGTGTGGGCCACATGTAGGGCAGAGCCTGGCAGCATCTGTTCTCTAGGGAAGGACCCTAAAGACCATGAGAAGGAGAACCTGAGGCGGATCAGGGAGATTCAGAAGCGCTTCAGAGAACGGGAGCACAGCCGGGAGCAGGGCCAGCCTAGGCCCCTAAAAGCTCTGTGGCGCTCGCCCAAGTATGACAAGGTGGAGTCCCGGGTCAAGGCACAGCTGCAGGTACCTGCCTCAGGGAGCCAGAAGTATTACTCATTTTGTTGGCCAACAAGCAACTAACTATATTCTGAACTGGGGAGGTTACCTCACAGAGGTAACAGAGGACTAAGAGACCCTGACTGCTGCAGGGCGGGGCTGAGGGGAGCCTTCTCAAAGTGGCGATGGGGGGCGTGCTGATCCTAAGGGGCAAGGAGCAATTAGGCAAGGGGACAGCAGAAGAGAACATTCCCAAAAGATGGAACCTCACCGACCACAGGACACATAGCAATGGAGATGCTAGGTACAGTTCACTGTGAGGAAAGAAAGGCGTGAGGTTAGACCAAGAAGTCAGCTGGACCCACATCAAGGGCCACATTAGCCACTTTCAGCCCTTATTTCTGAGGACAGTGGGAAGGGCAGAGGTATGGTGGGGGGCTCTGTCTTGAGTAGAGAGCAGCATCATCCCTCCATCCAAGGACTCAGCAGGAGGAGTAAGAGTGAGAGGAAGGGCACAGTCACACGAATGTGTCAGGGCTGAAGCATCTGTGGGGCTCCCAGGGGGTGGGAGTGTGTCCAGGAAGCAGATGGAAATTCAGGCCTGGATCTGAGGAGTAAGACCTAGGAGTTATTGACAATCAGGTAGAGGACAACGAGACCAAGGAAGTGACCGCCTGGATTTGAGGACTTGGAGGCCAGCCATCAGGAACTTTGGGGGACTAGAGCCAGGAAGCTTCGCTAGGAAGGAGGGGAGAGAGTGGTGGCTGGCCCAGTACTGGAGGAGAGGTGGTTATTGTTTTCTTAAAAATCTGATATCCACACGTTTATGTGCTGATGAGAACAAGTGTCCCTTGAGGAGGGAAGAGGTCCCGAGGGATGCAGAGGTCAGAAGGGCCAAGAGAGCCAGAGTCCTGAGGTTTCAGCCGCAGACCTCAGCCTGCTTGCTCTCTCTGCTGTGCCCTGCCCTCCAGGAGCCTGGCCCTGCCTTTGGGACAGAGTCTGCCCACTTCCTGCGGGCGCACTCCCGCTGTGGCCCTGGCCTCCCACCACCCCGTGTTCCCAGTCCCCAGCCAACCCCACCAAGTTCCAAAGCTAAGGTGAGTGGATGGTGGTTGGGCAGGGCTCCCAGTGTGTGTCGGGGGGTTCAGGGATACCACATAATGCTCTGTGCCACCACCCACACTTGCTGTGTCCTGCAGGGGCCAGGCCTGGGGGTGGACTTCATTCGTCACAATGCCCAAGCTGCCAAGAGGGCCCCCCGGAGGCATTCCCGCTCGCTGCAGGTCTTGGCACAGGTGCTGGAGCAGCAGCGGCAGGCCCAGGAGCACTACAATGCCACGCAGAAGGGCCACGTGCCCCATTAGTAGGTCTCACTGCCTGACACACAGGGCAAGGGGCACCAGGGGAGGGTGGGAACCAATCTCTGCCCGGGGGTCATCAACCCTGAGCCTGTGCACCCACAGCTTGTTGGAGCGCAGGGACCTGTGGCGGCGGGAGGCCGAGGCCCGTGAGCAGAGCCAGCCGGACCCTGCCATGCCTCCAGGCCACATGCGCATGCCTGAGAACCAGCAGCTAGAAACACTGAGCAAGCTGCTTCAGAGTGAGTACCTGGGTGGGGAGGCTGGAGGGGGAACCCACTGGGGACTGGGCACATGCCCAACACTCACTGTTCCCGGGCCCCCTGTAGGCCAGAGCCAGCTGCTGCGTGAGCTGGTACTGCTGCCTGCTGGGGCAGACTCACTGAGAGCTCAGAGCCACCGTGCTGAGCTGGACCGGAAGCTGGTGCAGGTAGAGGAGGCCATCAAGATTTTTTCCCGGCCCAAAGTCTTTGTGAAGATGGACACCTGAGCCCCTCTGGGGGACAATTAGCAGGGAGGTACATGCTGAGATTCACCAGCCACATGGCTGAAAAGGACAGGGTCAGGCCCATTCCCAGATCAGAGGTCTGAAGACAGGAGCAGGGGGTTGGTCAGTGTCCCTGGAGCACTTTTCTCAGCCACCAGTGGCTACAGAAGGGCCATCCCAGTCTTTTAACCATTTTGTCAAAATTAAACTGTTTGTACACAGGATTTGTTTCCTTAAGAGCTTTTCTTACTGTAAAAATGCCAATCCTGGTGGCCCTCCTGCTGCGCAGTTGCAGGAAGTTCTCCCAATTGTCACTCCTGCCTTAGTCCAGAGCAGAAGACAAACTAGTGGGACCAGGGAGGAGGCTGGGGCTGGGACACAGAAGGACCATGACTGTATTTGTAGAAAACCTTTAATGTTCCCCAGGCTGAGGGAGCCCTGTGAGCCCGCTAAAAACCCCCACTATGAAGTCCCTGCCATGGCCCAGCAGTGTGGAGTGGCACGGGGCTGCATCCCGCCTGTCAGAGGCTGAAGCCACTACCATCTCCTCGCATGCGACTCCCCCAGCCAGAACTGACCTGCTCCTGGTCACCCAGGGAGGGCAGAGAGCTGCGGGCACCAGGATATCGGCAGCCAGGGTGCAGGTTCCAGCACGGGGGCCCCTGAGATAGCCCATTGGAACTGGGAGACTGGCGGTTCTCAGTGACCAGGTCACTGCTGTCATCATCACTATCAGGTTCAACAGGCCCAGGCCCTGCAGAGGGAGGACCTGTCAAACGCCCAGATGCCCCTCGCACCACATTATTGCGCTGGTTGGCAGGCTTGACGGTGACAATGAGGTTATGGCTGTTGGCGACCATCATGTCCGTCACTTGGTCCAAGGTCTTCCCGGCTACTTCAATGCCATTGACCTCGAGAATCTCATCACTGACCGCCAGCAGCCCTGTACTCTCAGCCAGGCCCCCACGTACCAGGCGGGAGATGAAGATGCCTGGAACCCGCTCCAGGCCCTGGGGAGCCACACGCACACTCATGCCATCTCGGATGTAGAAGCCCAGGGGGCGGTCTGAACCATGCTTGTGCAGCCGCACCCGTCGATGGGTCTCAGGCAGTAGGTCCACATCTATGACTGAGGAAACCTGGCGGAAATCTTGGGGCAGGCTGATTAGGAGGGGTGGTCTAGTGCGCAGGGGTGCCACTGGCCGCAGCAGGAGCCCTTTCTTGCGCCGCTGCAGAGAGTTGGAGGCAAAAGCCAGGCTGCTGGAGTCAGCGTCTGCTGTAGGAGAGGCGGGTTGCTGAGATCAGAGACCTGTTCCCCAACTTGGGCTCTTTGCAGGGGGCACTGTAGCTATTTCCTACCACTTGGAGGTCAGGCCAAGGGCAGGGACTGCAGAGAGTGACGCCTGGGTGCCCTGGACATGGACTAACCCTTGTGGACCTGCCCCACAGACACCTTACCCCAGAGGCTGCCCACTGTACCCCTCCTCACCCCGCTTCTGCACCAGTAGGCGCAGTGGTGGGGGCCCGCTGGCCAGGGCCCGGTGCAGGCTGTCGTCGTTGGTGAGGGGCAGCAAGTCGCCGTGAGCATCCGTATAGCCAAGTAGCACGTCCAGGCCCGGGATCTGGTGCACCGCACGCAGCAACCGTGAGAACTCCTGGAAGCCGCTCACCGAAGCGCGGGGCAGCGCGAAGCGTCGGAATTCGGCGTCAAACTGGAAGTCGGGGTTGGGGGAGAGGAGGGGTAAGAATAGCCTGCGCCCCTTTCTCACCACAGGTCCGAGGCCGGCAGGGATGGGAAAGAAACGGCTGCCGCAAAAGCGGCAGCCTTAAGCCCAGACCTCAGCTCCAGTACCAGGGACGCTGTCCAAGGTCTTCTTACCACCCTCCAGGTACTCGGGACACAGAGGGATCTGGAGGCCAGCAGTGGAGGGAGGAAGATGGGTGGGAGAAGGCGAGAAGAAAAGCAGAATGGGACTTGGAGGATAGAGGGAAGAGGTGCGGGGACCTAGGAGCCGGGAAGGGGAGAAAGAGGGAATTGGGAGCGCCTAGAGCCGAGGCCGGAGGGGTCCTTACTTTGCTCTTCACCTCGACGATGCTATCGGGACTGCGCGCCGGAGTCCTCTGCGGCCGGGCCATGGCGGGGCCGGGCGGGCCGGGGACGGTGCCCCAGACGGCCCGCCGAGGCGCAGGTGCACAGCCCGGCCGGCCCGCCCGTGCCGCCCCGCCCCTGGCGGTAGCACACGCCCCGCCCTCCCATCCGGAGCGTGACGTCAAGGGGGCAGCGACGCAGAGTGGAACGCGGAGTCCACGTTTCCTAGGAAACGGAGCCGGGGGTGAAAAGAAGACTTCCTCCGCTCTTGCGTCATCACGCTGAGGTCCGCGCGCCCCCGGAGTCGGGGGAGTAGGGCTTGGCCAGTCCGAGGGGAGGGCGAAGGAAGTACCATTTATTGAGCGCTGTATGCTCTTATTTCCACTGGCCTTACAAGGCCGTGCATTGTGTAGATGAGGAAACTGAGTCATAATAAATATGTGCTGAACCCCTTGGGGGTCACATGACGCTGAAATGGTTTCGAGCCAACTCGCTCGGACGGCACTCGGCCGCAACCTCCGGCCTTGGATCCCTCTCTCCAGGGACCGGACCAGCCTTTGTTCTGTTCCTTCCCAGTAACATAGGAGTTCTGACCAATGGCCCAAACGCCGGGCCATTGCTTGGAGTGACGCCGCGATGAGAGCAAACGGGCGAGCATCCCGTGGACGAGCGGGAGACTGCTGACAGGCTGGAGCAGGACGCCCTCGTGCGCAGGCGCGGGATGTAGGTGAGCGTGGCCTCCGCCTCAGGCCCCGCCCAGCCGCAAGCGCTTCCTCTTCCGACGAGAGGCGGGGCCTGAGCGCCCGCGGGAAACCCGGGCCCGCTGCTTCAGCTAGGTGCAGCCGTGGGAATGGCAGGTTCGGGGAGGCTGGTCTTACGGCCCTGGATTCGAAAGCTGATTCTAGGGTCAGAGACACTCTCCAGTCCACGAGCCGGGCAGCTGCTCGAGGTGAGCCCCCACTCAAGGCCGGGAGACCGAGGCGGAGACCGCGGGTGGTGGGACTGACGCAGCTCGCCGCCGTCAGGTACTAAAGGAGGCGGAGGCAGCTGCCGCGGGCCCATCCCACGCCCCTGATGCGTCCGACGTTGGGGCCACGCTGCTTGTGTCTGACGGAACCCACAGTGTCCGATGCCTGGTGACGCGGGAGGCCCTGGACACCTCGGACTGGTGAGTGGCGCCGCGCGTCTTCGGTGTCGGAAGCCCGCGGGAGAGCGCGAGGTGGGCGGGCCTTGTGTTGCGGCGGGAGAGCGCGAGGTGGGTGGGCCCAGCAGTGAGGGTCATGCTCGCCCCAGGGAGGAGAAGGAGTTCGGCTTCCGCGGGACAGAGGGGCGGCTGCTGCTGCTGCAGGACTGCGGGGTCCGTGTCCAGGTCGCTGAGGGTAGCGCGGTGAGTTGTGGGGCTGTTTTAGGCGGGTTATCGGGCTTGACTTTTCGTGACAAAACTCCTGAGACCTCCCCTTCCCCTCGAACTCCTCCAGACCGCAGAGTTCTATCTCCAGGTGGACCGCTTCAGCCTGCTGCCCACAGAGCAGCCCCGGCTACGGGTGCCTGGTTGGTAAGTGATGCCTCCGCCCTCCAGCAGCTCTTCCTACCCCAGCCTGGCTGGCGCTGGCAGAGGCCTTCGGGTTAGGAGGGCTTGGGCTTCCATTAACTACTCTTCTCTTTTTTTAGCAACCAAGACTTAGATGTTCAGAAAAAGCTCTATGACTACCTTGAGTGAGTCTGGGGTGGGCCTCGGGCACCACTTGTGGTCTGGTGAGGGGATGGTGTGTCTGGACAGACAGGCCTCAGCATGTTTCCTGAGGCCTGGCCATTCTTCTTGTAGGGAGCACCTTTCGGAGTCCACCTCTTCCAATACAGGTATTGTAGGGCTTGACCAGTAATCCTAACACCCTGTGCAGTGATCTCTCCTGCCTTAACCTGTTGCTTTCTCAATAAGCTGTTTTCCCCCTCCCACTCTCTCTCTCTCTGGGGTCGTCCTTTTATTTTTTATTTTTTTTTTGGGGGGGGTTCTCCTCTTTAAGCCTCGACTCATTCTCTGGTCCCCTGTTCCCAGGCCTATCACTGTCCCAGCTTCTGGATGAAATGCGGGAGGACCAGGAGCATCAGGGGGCGCTCGTGTGCCTAGCTGAGAGTTGCCTAAAGCTGGAGGGTCCTTGCACAGCACCCCCTCTCACCCACTGGGCTGCCTCACGCTGCAGGGCCACGGTCAGTCTGGGGCTTTTCTTGGAGATGTCAGGGTGAGGAGTTGGGCAGGGGTCATGCTGAGAGTTCATTTTCCACAGGGAGAAGCTGTGTACACTGTCCCAAGCTCACTGCTTCGCATCTCTGAGAATGACCAGCTAATTCTGAGCTCTCTAGGACCGTGTCAGAGGACACAAGGTAAGGGGGACTGGAGAAGTTGGGGGATACCCTGGGGCACAGGTCTACAGTGCTGATAAGCCTTCCTGAACCCTCCAGGCCCCGAGCTGCCCCCACCAGACCCAGCTCTGCAGGACTTATCCCTGACCCTCATCTCCTCTCCTCCTTCCTCACCCAGTTCCTCAGGTGAGGTGATACACAAGTCACAGGCACTCACTGCTATCTATCAGTCAGATTCCCAGGCTGTGCAGGATGCTGTGAAAAGGTGCATGGGGGTGGGGGATGAACATAGTTCTTGCAGTCCTGTCTGAGCTTGCAGGCCACTCAGCTGCTCTGAGCAGAGTGGGCTGTGCCTACAATGAGTCCCCTCCTCCTCAGGAACCCCAGCCTTGCCTGGCCACGTGTCATCCCAGGAAAGTGGTGTGAGCATCAGCCTTCTGCCTGCCCTGTCCTTGACTGCTCCAGACCTAGGGCAGAGGAGCAGCTCCCAGCCCCCACCAGCTATCTGTTCAGCCCCTGTCCCCGTGACCCCCAGCTCCCCACTCCAGAGCTGCTCCCCCAGTCTCTCGCCCCATGGCCGTGTCCCCAGTCCACACCAGGCTCTTGGGACCAGGTCCCAGAAACCTAGCCTAGAGTTAAAGGAGCTAGGGTTGCTCTGCAAGAATCGGCAGCTTTTTCCCGGGACCGGAACTACCAAGGGAGCCCAGGAGTCCTGCCCTGTCTGGGTGAGCATAGTCCCTTTGCAGTTGGAGGGTAGAATGAGGAAGGCCTGAGGTAGAGGTGGGAGGGAGCAGGGGTAGCCTTGGATGGGGTTGGGGTCCTTGTTCCCCAGACACCATACCCCTTTCAGGAACCCCCAAAGAGGCATCGTGATGGTTCTGCCTTCCAGTATCAGTACGAGTCACCCTGCACATCCCTCTGTGCTCAGGTCCAAGCTGCCAGGTGAGTGAGTGCGTGGGTCTGCCCCTACTCTTGGTCACTAGTCCCAGGCTCCATTGACCTGCAGCCATGATTCCTTCCCAGGCTTCCTCCCCAGCTCGTGGCCTGGGCCTTGCACTTTCTGATGGAGCCACAGCCAGAGTCTGAGGCAACTCCGATGTGAGAGGTCACACAGGATACTGGAGAATGTGTACACACAGGACAAATAACTGCTCCACACTCTGCTTTGAGTTTTTTAATAAAATAATCTCATGCGGCAGGAGAGGAGAGGATCAGGGATTGGGACCGCCGCCTCTTTGGTCTGTGGCTGGGGAGGGTGGGCTCCACTCAGGGCTGGAGGGCTCTGTGGGCTGTGGGTGCAGAGGCTCGGTTCCAAGCCCAGATCCTGTGAGGGGAGGGAGGTGGAGAGAGGAAGGGTCAGGGCTGGGCTAAGCAGTCCTGCCACCCTCCCAGCTGGCCTGGACTCACTCTTACCTAGGCTTGGGGATGGAGGTGCCTCGAGTTTCGGCCTGCGTTTGAGGACCGGGGAGCGCTGCAGCCGCAGGGGCCGTTCTAAGGAACATAGAAAGGCTTGAGGTGGGTTGCCAAGGGCTTGAGGTCTGTCCATCCCCTGCCCCCTCTCCCACCTCCAGTACACGCAAGCATGTGCTCACACACGCTGCCTTCAGAGCATCCCCCATCCCTGCATCCTCACCCCAGCAGAGGCTGCTCTTTGGGAAGTGGAATCAGGGCTAGTTGGAAAGGCTTGTCAAACCCTTGCACCTGGCCTTCTGGCTCCCTGATTTCTTGAGTCCTCACACTGGTGCCTCCCTCCAAGGATCAAAGCCATGAAGGGAGCCCCAGAAGCCCACCCTCCTGCATCTCCTGCATTCAAGCACAGATGGAAGTGTCTCCCCTCACCAGCAGGGGCCTGGAGCTGGTCCTCGTGCACAGACACTGCCCGCCGCCCTGCCGAGAGAGGCCTTGGCCTCAGCTGGCCATCTGAGGGAGGCCAAGGAATCAGGGGTGTTCCAACAGCTGCCCAGACTCCAGCCCTTGCCTCCCACCCTCAGGGTCCTTAGAGGAGCTGAGTTCCCAGCAGGAACTACTCCAGCCCCCAGCCCATGATTGGGGTGGGGAATCGGGTGGCTGCCTACCTTCACTCCTGGGACCCAAGCAGGGGTCCTCCGGGAGGCCCAGGCTGTCTGGGGAGGGGCTGGCTCTGCAGGGACTTGGGCTTTGACCAGGGGAGGGAGGGCCTGGACCATCCTGTTGGCCCCAACCACGGCTCCTGAGCTCTGCATTCAACTGCTGCCCCAGTGTCTTCCAGGTGGCAGACTCGGGCCCTTGGCTTCCTGGGCCAGGTCTGCAGGAGGGGTCTGTGGGGAGAAGGGTGTCAGCCAAGACCTGGTCAGGCCTTAGAGATAGGACTGAACCACCATATGACCCTGCTCCTGTCCATCTCTGTTTCCCCTACTAACACACACAGTGGCCCTCACTCACCAGCAGACACAGAGTGGGTGCGGGACTTCATTGAGATGGGAGGGGCCTCCGTGGAACTGTCCATAATGTCACCTGCAAGGTGGAGTTGGGGACTCGGGCACCAGACCTTGGAGATGAGGGGAAGAAAAACCTGGCCTCTCCACTTCCTCCCCCAGGAGAGCAAGTGCCCTGGGGGCTGTCTGTAAGGACACCTCCTGGCAAATGTACTGCTGCACCCCAGGGTACCACTTACCATCTGAGCCAGCTTTCTTGATCTCGCCATCTTTGCTCTGTAGGAAACAGGACGGTCAGATTCCAGCCCTGCCCCCTCCCCATACCCTAGCCTTTTGTTCATTCTTGTTCTTATAACCCAGCTCCTGAATACCCACCATGGGCTGGACAAGAACATGGCACACCCAGTCCAGTCTTAGAACTCTTCATACACTTGAATGTTTCTAAATTCAGGCTAACTTCATGTGTTAGTTATTTTTAAGGTATTGAATGGATGGTACAGAGGGCTGGGGTTCTTTGGGAGTGTGAAAAGAGTGACATTAGCGGGGTGGCCAAAGAGGAGAGTCAGGGAAGGACCGTGGGCACTGTGTGGATAGCTCAGGAGGGACCTGGTGTAATCCACAATTAAGAAACTGGAAGCAAGGTAGGGAGGACACCCGGATACAGGGACATGTTTGGAGGCTGATTTGCCCCTAGAGGAGGAAAGCAGTGAGGTGGTTTGTCTCATTCTGTTGCCCAGGCTGCTGGAGTGCGGTGGCATAATCTCAGTTCACTGCAATCTCCACCTCCCGGGTTCAAGCAATCTCTGCCTCAGCCTCCCGAGTAAATGGGATTAAAGGTGCCTGCCACCACACCCCAGCTAATTTTTTTAAGTAGAGTTGGGGTTTCACCATCTTGGCCAGGCTGTTCTCTAACTCCTGACCTCATGATCCATCCTCCTTGGCCTCCCAAAGTGCTGGGATTACAGCCATGAGCCACCATGCCTGGCTGAGAGCAGTGAGGTTTTAAGGTGGCCAGGGCCAAGACACCCCACAGGGCCCCAGAGCTGGGTGTGAAGACTGAACAGTGTCTTGAGAGGAAGCCCCTGGAAGACTTGCTGTTTCAAGTACAGGTGACAAGATTTTTTTTTTTTTTGGAGATGGAGCCGTCTCTTGTCACCCAGGCTGGAGTGCAGTGGCACAATCTAGGCTCACTGCAACCTCTGTCTCCTGGGTTCAAGCAATTCTCCTGCCTCAGCCTCCCAAGTAGCTGGGGCTATAGGTGTGCACCATCACACCCAGGTAGTTTTTGTATTTTTAGTAGAGACGGGGTTTCGCCATGTTGGCTAGGCTGTTCTCTAACTCCTGACCTCAGATGAGCCACCTGCCTCAACCTTCCAAAGTGTAAGGATTACAGGCGTGAGTCACCACCTGGCCTGGGCCTCAGGTTTCTATTAGACCTGCAGAGAAAGGACTTTCTCAGGTCCAGAGGAGATAACGGTGGCCTGTGCCTCGGTAGAAGCCAAGAAGGAAGAAAGGCTGAATCTATTTTGAGGAGGAGGGAGTGGAACTGCCAATTAGACCTGTCATGAGTCTCCTCCATCTTGGTCACATATGTCACCCACAGCATGCCACCTGCCCTCTCACTTCATGCTCATGTTACCCAAACTCACTTGCTTCCTCTTGCCTTCAGCACCCCCGCTGCCTCGGCTGACGCCTATCCTCTGCAGCATCACTTGTACCCGCTGTTCAAAGGATGGAGCCAACTCTGTTTCTCCCCTCTCCAGAGGCCGCCGCTAGGGACAGAAATGGCCGAGTTGGAGACAGCTCATGTCCTGGGTCCCAGAAGCGCCCTCATCCCCCCATCAGCCAGCCTTACCTTGTCAGGTCTGGCACCCAGCATTGCTTCCTCCTCGGCAGGCAACAATATCATTGAGTAGGCTTTGCTGTCCCTTGTGTATCGAGGTCGGCTCCTTCGGGCAGGGTCAGGGCTGCTGGTGTCCCCCTCAGCCCCACCAGGCTCCTCACCACGGCTGGGACGGGTTGGCGGTCGCAGCAGGTCACTAAATGTAGTTTTTCGGGTTCGGGGAGCTGCCCCGGGGCTGGTCTCTAGATCAGGCCGTGGACCCCGTGTTGAACGAGGCTTCTTGAAGGCAAAGAGGGTGCCCAGCTTCTTTCGCAGTGTACGGGGGACAGGAGTGGTGCCCCCCTCAGTGGCCAGGTCCTCCTCCGGGGCCCAGCTGTGGGGACACTCAGCAGTGAGTGAGAAAGCCCATCAGGCATCCCACCCTCTCCCACCCCCTGAAGATGCCCCTCACTCACAGGCGATCCTGCTGAATCAGCCTTTTGGAGAAGAATTCCTCCACACCCTCATCCACTCGGGCACTGAGCCCATTCCCTTCCTGCGGCAAGGCTGGGGGCACCTGGAGGGCATCATGGGGTCAGGGGTCAGGGCTGAGTACAACTCCGGCTTTTCCCCCGTTCCCTGTCCGGCAGCCTGGCCTGAATAACTCCAGGATCCCAGACTAGGGTGACCCTAGGGGACTGCTGATACCAGCCTCCCACTGTCCGGCTGCTGGACAGAGACCAGGTTTCACACACACACCACCCGCAGCTGGTTTTTGCACACCCGTCCTTGTCCCACAGTGCATCCTACACGCCCTAGCCACACGGTCACCAGCAAGCCTAGCTCCCCCTTGCTCCTGGGGTTATCGGTTCCCACTTGCCAACCGCTCTGCTCCGAACAGTTCCCTGCAGTGTCCCCCACCCCACCCCCACTCCACTTGGCCTGCTGCTGGCTCAGTGGTGCCAGCTGCTGCGTCAGACCCTCTGGGGGGCCTCAAGCCGGCTTCTCCCCACCCTCCGCCGGTGCCCACTGCCTCCGCGGGCTCGCAGCCCACACAGGCATCTCTCCACATGCGCCGCCGCTGGACGCGCAGCAGACGCAGGCTTGGCCCCGTGGCCCGGCATCTCTCAGCAGCCCCGGGGAGGGAGGACGGACACCCTCTCTCGCGCAGCCACCGAGGCGGCAGGCCTCCCCGAGGCGGAGTCCCACACACCCAGGCACACCCCGAATGGAACCGCATACGCACGGCCTGGGGCGGGGGGTGGCCAGGATGTGACCATGACCGCATGAACAGGTGGCCTTGGGCCCCTACCACCCCCTCTACTTGACCGCCACCACCCATGAGGAGCGGCCGGGCCACCCGCGACCCCCAAATCCACGCGCTCGGAAGTGGGGGAAGGGTGCTCACCTGGGGGCCCCCCGGCGGCGGACGGTGGTGGTGCTGGCGGCGCGGCCGCGGCCGGGCCCGGGTCGGATGGCGCAGGGGCTGCCCCGCGGATGGCAGGTCCATGCGGGGCAGTGGGCCAGCCAAGGGCCCGGGAGTGGCAGGGCTCGGAGAGCCGCGCGCAGACGGCCCCGCCTGCGGCTCCGCATCTTCTCCCGGAGCCGCCAGCTCGGGCTCCGGCTCTGCTTCCTCAGCAGCACCTGAGGGGACAGCACCAGAAAAGCGAGCGCTGAGCCCGGGGAGGTGGTGGCGGAGGCGCTAGGGCGGCGGGGGACCCGCCCAGGGCGCGGGGAGGGGCCCGGCTACGGCGCCCGTCCCCCCGCCCCTCTGCCCCTCCCCCAGCCACTGTCCGTGGTGCTGAGCGCGGCCCCGAGTGCGCGCGGCTCCGCGCCACCGCCAAGCATGCGCGTCCTGGGGGTAGGGAAAGGGGCGGGAGGAAGCGAACCGAGCGGGTGTCCTGTCCCTGGTCTGTCCAAGTCTCGCCCCGGGCTGACCACAGCAGACCTGAGCTTTGCAGG